GCATGACCAAAGCCACACACACACATCATGCAGGCAAGTGACTGTGATCTTTGCTCCTTTGCAAGGTCATCATGGAGTCTGAGAGCTCTGAACTTTGCTCTTTTCCTGCACACCTCTGTGTTCTTCTACTCCCAGCATTCCCTGCTCCTGTCTCTGCTGAAATGCCAGCGTGTGAGGTGGGGTTCCTCTGGATAAGGATCAGACACTCTTCCAACTGTTTTCCCTGACTCCAGTCCTGGTAGCAATTGTCTGCATTTTGATCGTGTGGCTCTTTAAAGCTGCTGATAGAAGCCCAGAGAAAAAGAAAGAGGAACCCCAAATTCAGCCCTGGATGAACGAAGACTTGAAAGACAGTCCTGATATCCACCAAATGGAAGAAGGTAAAAGACAGTGGCATCGCCTCCTGGCTTTACCACAGGGTGCTTCTGTGATGAGTGTGAGCTGATGGAGGGCTTATGGAGGGGACACAGGCAGGTCAGTTTCATCACCAAACTCTAGTATGGCAACAATTCAGGGTGACAAAGATGGGGTTATTTTTCAGGTGATCAGCTTGTCACTTTCTTGTACCTTTACCCCTTATATTCTCATTAATTGAAAACTACTAAGGAACAGAAGTTTCCCCAGGCTCTAGTGTCGTTCTGCCTGTCACAGTTTTTCTGAGTGGCCCCATCACAGATCAGCAGTGAGCATGAGGCAAGTGGTTAGGTTCTGGTCAAGAACTTTGAGGCTGACCCTAGAGTTTTGCTGTTTTTTATTTCTCCAAGCCCTGGGGGTTACAACAAGAGCGGCCTTGGTCTTCAACAAGCTGAAAATCCAGTTCAGGGAATCAGGTGGCCCAAAGAAGTAGAAAACTTGATGGAACTGTTGTCAGTTGTTAAGGCAGGCTGGGGGGCAGAATGGCCAGTGTGGAAGGCCAAAGCAGGCCTGGAGGATATGCAGCTCTGCAGCACACATCGATTAAGATGGGCAGAGAGAGTCGAGGCCAGGGATGGAAGGGTTGGGAGACAGTCTGAGGAGCTGGGTGGAGTGAAAAGCAAAAGGAAAGGCCATAAAAGAGGCAGGGAAGGAGGTGGGAGGGGTGGGTCCTTGCAGAAGTTTGAGTAATCTGTATTTGAGAAACTTTGTGTGGACAGGTGAGGGATGAATTTGATTTGGAGGTGACTGCATGATTCTGTTTGGTCCTCACCTCAAGCAGAGGTTGCTTGGAAATGTGTGTGTAGTGGTCCTCATCTCAGGACTTGGGGTGGGTTGTCCCTCTGTGTTGGAGCTAACAGGATGCTGAACGTACTGCCCAGGAGCCAAGGCTAGGCCACCTCTCATTCTCAAACAGATGCTCCTTGATTTACAATGGTCTTATGTCCTGATAAGCCTTGGTAAGTTGGAAATATCATAGGTCAAAAATACATTTAATATCCCACCAAGTATCATAGCTCAATGAGTCCACCTTAAACATGCTTAAGAACACTTCCACTAGGCTACTTGATACAAAGTATCCAAAATGATTCCTATTTTATAATAAAATTTATTGTATATTATCCTAAAAGTGAAAAGCAGGATGGTTGTACACATATGCTTCTGTTCCACTGCAAAGCTGAAAAATAAGTTGAGTGATGGAAGGTTGGAAGCTGTGCCTGTTGAGAAGCACATCACTGAGCAAAGGGACATCTGCCCTGAAGCAGGGGTGGCCCCAATGGCAGTGATACCAGAAAGCAGGGATGGGGTGTATCTGAGTGAGGTCAAACAAAGGACAAGAAGGGCTGGAAATAAATTGAATGTTGGGATGGGGCAAGGGGGTTGGGATTCAGAGACTAAGGACTTGGAGTGATGGAGTCAGATGGGTGAAAACAAGGGGATCCCTTCCAGAGAGGGAATTGAATTTCATCAAGGAGGTGTTACATTTGCCATGAGCGTGACAGGAGGTGAAGATTCTGGCCATAGGCACTGACAGAAGAGGCAAGCTCAGAGGACAACTAGTAATATTTGGAAAGCTAACTTGCACTAGGATGTCTTAGAATACTATTTTACTGTTTGTAGCTCATTGTTTGTATTCAAAATGGTTTGAATCTGCTATTTGTATTCATCAAAACCATCTCCATGCTTCCTCAGTACTGGAATCTTTTTTCTTCTCTGAATAACCCTGTGCTCAAAACCCTCTGAACATGTACTTAGATTGCATCCAAAGCTGTGGTCAAGAACAGGTACACAGGCAGCAGAGATCCTGGTTTTAAAAATGGTCCTTACTGATCTGTGTGACTTTATCATTTACTGCTTATGTAAACAATAAAAAGTGAAAGAAAATTTCCATGAAGTGGGTAAAGTGAGAGAGAAAGCTGAGGAGAGAACCTGGAGGCCCCTGTGGACAAGAGGCATGTGATGGAGGGATGTGCTGTAGAAAGGAGAAGCCATGAGCAGAGAGGCCCAGGGATAATAATAATAACAAGTCCTTACACAACACTGACTGAAGCCAGTTAGGGTCACATTTTGTGCAATATCATTTAAATTTCATGATAATACAATGAGGTCAGCATTATTATTATCCCGTATAAGGAAACTGAGGCTCAAATAGGGTAAGTTACCTTGCCAAGACAGGAGAAGCAGGAATCAGGTAGTCTGGCTCTGGGGTCCAGGCACATGCTTGTTTGCAAAATAGCCTCTCCTGCAGGACAGTGAGCCAAATGGAGCAGGCAGGAGAAGAGGCAAGGCTACAAACCTCTAGAGGTGGTGTGAGTGGACGGACCTGGGTCTGCAGGTCCAGGAGGCTGGAGGACACTGGAGGGCTTGATGGCTCTGTGTTCCCAACCAGACTCTGGCCCAGTCCCTGCCTTCTTCCAGCCTCATCAAGCCCTCCAGTGTCCCTAGGACTAGCCACAGCCACCTGCTGGGCCCCAACTGTCCAAAACTGCCTGCCCGGCCACAGGACTACCCACCACCGCACGCCAGGCCCCAGGAATACCCACCGCCATCTGCCGGGCCCCAGGACTACCCACTGCTGCATGCTGGGCCCCAGCACTACCCACCGCCAACTGCCGGGCCCCAGGACTACCCACCCCCGACTGCCGGAACCCAAGTTACCTCCGCCACCTGCCGGGCCCCAGTATTAGTCACCACCACGTGCCGGGCCCAATGACTACCCACTGCTGCGTGCCAGGACCAGGACTAGGCAGAACCACGTGCCAGGCCCTAGGACTACCCACCGCCCCCTACCAAGCCCCAGGACTACCCTCCACTGCTTCCCGGGGCCCAGCACAACCTACCACCACCTGCCGAGGCCGAAGACTACCCACCACCACCTGCCGGGATGCAGGATAACCCACCTCCGCCTGCCGGGGCCTAGGACTGCCCACCATCGATGCTGGGCCCCAAGACTGCCCACCACTGCCTGCCGGGCCCCAGGACTACCCACCGCTGCCTGCCAGTTCCCATGCCACCCACCACCACGTTCCGGGCCCCAGGACTACCCATTATCACCTGCTGGGCCCCAGGACTACCCATTACCGCCTGCCGGGACCCAGGACTACCCACTGCCGCCTGCCGGGACCAGGACAACACAGATCCATGTGCCAGGCCCCAGGACTACCTGCCGCCCCCTGCCAAGCCCCAGGACTACCCTCCACCGCCTCCCGGGGCCCAGCACAACCCACCAACACCTGCCGGGGCCGAAGACTAGCCACCACCGCCTGCCAGGCCCTAGACTAGCCACCACCATGTGCCAGACCCCAGGACTATCCACAGCCGCCTGCCGGGGCCCAGGATTAACCACTGTCACCTGCCGGACCGAAGGACTACCAACTGTCGCTTTCCAGGCCCCAGGACTACCGACCGCCACGTGCAGGGCCCCAGGACTAGCCATTCGGCCCCGGCAGGTGTTGGTGGGTTGTGCTGGGCCCCGGGAGGGGGTGGAGGGTAGTCCTGGGGCTTGGCAGGGGGCGGCAGGTAGTCCTGGGGCCTGGTACATGGATCTGTGTTGTCCTGGTCCCGGCAGGCGGCAGTGGGTAGTCCTGGGTCCCGGCAGGCGGTAATGGGTAGTCCTGGGGCCCAGCAGGTGATAATGGGTAGTCCTGGGGCCCGGAACATGGTGGTGGGTGGCATGGGAACTGGCAGGCAGCGGTGGGTAGTCCTGGGGCCCGGCAGGCAGTGGTGGGCAGTCTTGGGGCCCAGCATCGATGGTGGGCAGTCCTAGGCCCCGGCAGGCGGAGGTGGGTTATCCTGCATCCCAGCAGGTGGTGGTGGGTAGTCTTCAGCCTCGGCAGGTGGTGGTAGGTTGTGCTGGGCCCCGGGAAGCAGTGGAGGGTAGTCCTGGGGCTTGGTAGGGGGCGGTGGGTAGTCCTAGGGCCTGGCACGTGGTTCTGCCTAGTCCTGGTCCTGGCACGCAGCAGTGGGTAGTCATTGGGCCCGGCACGTGGTGGTGACTAATACTGGGGCCCGGCAGGTGGCGGAGGTAACTTGGGTTCCGGCAGTCGGGGGTGGGTAGTCCTGGGGCCCGGCAGTTGGCGGTGGGTAGTGCTGGGGCCCAGCATGCAGCAGTGGGTAGTCCTGGAGCCCGGCAGATGGCGGTGGGTATTCCTGGGGCCTGGCGTGCGGTGGTGGGTAGTCCTGTGGCCGGGCAGGCAGTTTTGGACAGTTGGGGCCCAGCAGGTGGCTGTGGCTAGTCCTAGGGCCTGGCAGGCGGTGGTGGCTAATCTTCAGCCCCGGCAGATGGCGGTGGGTTGTCTTGGGCCCGGCAGATGGTCGTGGGTAACCCTTGGGCCCAGCAGGTGGTAGTGGGTCGTCCTGGGGCCCAGCAGGTGGCGGTGGGCAGTCCTGGGGCCAGGCAGGTGTTGGTGGGTAGTTTGGGGCCCAGCAGGCGGTGGTGGGTAGTCCTGGGGCCCGGCAGGTGGCGGTGGTTAATGTTGGGGCCTCGTAGGAGGCGGCAGGTAGTCCTGGGGCCCGGCACATGGTGGTTGGCATTCCTGCAGCCCAGCTGGTGGTGATGGGTAGTCCTGGGGCCAGGCACGTGGTGGTCAGTAGTCTTGGGGCCCAGCACGTGTTGCTCGATAGTCCTGGGGCCAGGCATGTGGTGGTGAGTAGTCCTGGGGCCTGGCACGTAGTGGTGGGTATTCTTGGGGCCCGGCACGGGGTTGTGGGTTGCCCTGGGGCCCAACTCGTGGCAGTTGGTACTCCTGGGACCTGGCAGGCAGCAGTGCATAGTCCTGAGGCCCGGCACGTGGTGGTGGGTAGTCCTGGGCCCTGGCAGGCGGCGGAGGATAGTCCTGGGGCCCGGCAGGCGGCGGTGCATAGTCATGGGGCCTGGCAGGCGGCGGAGGATAGTCCATGGGCCCAGCACGTGGTGCTGGGTAGTCCTGGGGCCTGGCAGGCGGCGGTGGGAAGTCCTTGGGCCCGGCAGGCGGTGGTCGGTAGTCCCGGGACCCGGCAGGCGGTGGTGAGTTGTCCTGGGGCCCAGCATGTGGTGGTGGGTAGTCCTGGGGCCTGGCAGGCGATGGTGTGTAGTGCTGGTGCCCGGCACGTGGTGGTGGCATTCGCAGATCCGAAATGAAATACGCTCGGGCGCCGAGCGGGCCTGGAGGCCTGAATGGCACAGGTCCCGGCAAGAACTCGCGGGGATGTAGCAGCAGGTCGTGGCGTCCGGGCAGCATGCCGGGCGCATAGTCTCTTAAGCCCAGTGGTGGGCCCATGCGTGCAACTGGAAAGCAAGAGGGACATGCAGACACATCCTGAGCAGCAGCCCAGGTCTGCTGAAAGGGTTTCCCTTCCCCTGCACCAGGAAGTCGAGTGATGCACTGGACTTCACAGATAAGGAAAACTGAGGCTCAGTGCGGCTCAACCACAGCCTGACCCTCCCTTCTCCCAGTGCCAGCTGCCTGTGGCGTCCCGGGTGACCACCCCGGTGAGACTGGCACTTGGGCTCTGCCAGAAGGGCCCTTCTGGTCCAAGCAGCTGTGGAGGCTGCACTGGGCTCAGAGTGCTGGGCCTCATGCTTCAAGTCTGGCCGGCTGCAGCTGCCGATCAGGACAGGAGAGGAGAGAGGACAGGGTAGGCGAGAGGACAGGGTAGGCGGTGGTGCCGGCCCAAGTGTCCTACCGTACCAAATGGTGGCGGTGGCCTAGGAGGCATCGGCCGAGGCCCGAAGGGCCTGCAGAGCAGTGGTGGCGGCGGCGACCCATAGCCCACGTGGGGTGGCATGGGGCCTCCCAGGAACGGGGGCCCTGGATGGGCTGGGGGCCCCTTCACGGCCATGCTCACCTGCGAACAGAAGCAGGCCCAGTTTCGAGCTCGGCAGTGACACCGGGTGCCCGTCCCTAGAGGAGTCAAGGGATCCCCGGACCCTGCCGGCTCCTCTTGAGCAGCGCGCCACGCAGCGAGCATGGTCACCACGCTGTCCCCACTCGTGTGCGGAGATGAGCTCCAGAGGTGCCAGCGGGGCGCTGCGCCAGCTCGCTGCACTCTTGCCAGCATGAGCGTGGCCCTGGGCATGATAGGGGTGACACAAGGGCTCCCAGGGTCCCAGGGTAGCTGGGGAGAACAGGAAGCTGCCTTGGCCAGTTGACACTGCACAGGGAGGGGCTGGCGGAGGCGCCTGGGCCTGGGCTGCTTGGAAAGCAGTCCATGGAGCTCTGACCATTGCAGGCGGCCCCATGCGGTGCGAAGGCTGCCGAGGCAGCAGCCTCAGGACCCAGGAGGCACAGCAGCCTGCGCCACCCTGGGTCGGATTCAAGGGGCCCTGGAACCGGCTTCCCACTCCCACAAGAGCCCACGCCCACCTCATCCCCATCATTGCAAGGGGTCTGCCTAACACAGACCCTGAGGACCCCAACAGCTGCTCCCAAAAATCAAGCGCACGTGAGTATGGCGATGCACACCTGTCATCCCGCACTCGGGAGGCTGAGGTGGGAGGACTGCTAGGGAACTGCAGGTGGGCTCTGGGTACTGTGAGGTCAAGTCCAGCTTGACCAAACACTCAAGGCAGGGGCGTGAGGTGTGCTGTGCTCCAGCACTCAGCATGTGGCGCGAGCCTTAGTGAAGGCCCAGTCAGATGGTGACCTAGTCAGCAGGGTCGTCACGCCCAGGCCAGCTGGAGAACAGAGTGGAAACCGAAGGCACATGGAGCAGCTCGGGCCCAGGCACAGGCTCCAGGCTCACCTTGGCGTTGTCCATGTCCTTCGCTGGGGAGGAGTCGCGGGAGCTGCTGTTGGCCACGGGGCCAGGGCCGGGATCTGGAGGCAGAGAAGGCACTCAGAGGACTTTCCCAGGACAAGGACCGGAAGAGGCCACAGGCACACCCTCGGAAGTGCCCTGGGGAATACTGCAGAGCCCCTCGGACTGTCCCTGTAGGGAGCAGAGGCATGGCTGCCTCTGATAGGCAGCTGCAAGGCCTGTGGGAGGCAAGAGGCCAGGGAGCCCTCGCCTGGAGCCAGAGGTACCAGGCTCACTGAGTGGGCATCAAGTGGGGGTGGGGGTGGAGGTGGGGGGGGGTCGAAGGAGGCCTCTGAGCCTGCGCGGGCTCCACCTGGTCAGCACTTCGTGGACCTGGGGAGCTGGGAAAGCTGCGCTGTGGCAGCCCAAGCCAGAGGCGGAGGCTGCTTTAGGTCTCAGGCTGTGGAGGAGGAAGACAGGGCCGCAGAAGACTGAGCCCGCACACAGCAGCCACATGCTTTGGGAGCAGCACACAGAACCAGTAACATGCGGACCTGCCTAGCTCAGGAGCCGTCCCTGGTGGCCCGGAGGTGAGTGGTGAGGAAAGTGCGCCCACTCATTGAACACTGTGCAGAGAGGGAGAGGGCGACACTGCAGCCTCTGCCATGCCACAGCCAGAGAGGGTTGGGAGTGACTGGGTGGGCGACTGTTCCCAGGACCCTGCTCCTGCACTGCAACGGAGGTGGGCCTGCACAGGGCCCAGGGCTAAGTGGAAACCCGAGCCAGGAGTGCCCGGGCTCTGTACCAGAGCTCAGGGAACCATGCCCGGGGCAAGGCAGCATGGTGTCCCGGAGTCCGGGACTTGAGCCCCCGGAGAGGCTCACCGAAGTCGGCTCTGGGAATGTCACAGCATGCAAAGTTCAGGTTCCCAGAGGGCGGCCATCCAGGAGGCTCTGCGCCTGGGGGCAGGGAGCACTCACCGCCACTCACAGGGGACTGGCCAAAGGAGCCCTTCTGGCTCAGGGGACCTGAGGAGACAACACATGCGCTGGTTACCCGTTCTCTGCAGTAGCTAAGTTCCCCGAGTCCCACTCAGAAGGACAGAGTGCCCACCTCTGTGGGGCGCGTTCTGCACTCCAGGACAGTCCGGCATCCGCTTGATGATCCCAGGCTCCTCTTTAAGCATATCCAGCTTCTGGGTAATTTCCACCAGCCTGCACACAGACACAGTAGGGCTGGGGGTGACCATAGCCACCCTGAGTGGGCTAAAACATGGGCGCCATGCATCGCATCGCGCCACGCGCTACTAACCTCTGCCGCAGGTTGGTGGCCTGCCGCTTCTCATCTGCCACCAGGCGCTCTGCATTTCAGGCTTTGAGCTGTGGAGACAGAGAGGCCAGCTCAGCACAGTGGCTGAGTGAAGCTGGAGAGGGCTAGGCAAGGCGAGGCGAGGAGGAGGAGGCTCTTACCCAGTTCTCATGGGCTTTTTTCTTCTCCGTAGCAAGCTGCAAGAGAACAGGGCAAGACGCAGGTTGAGGGACCAGTCACCGGGGCTGCAGCCCTCCATGACTCCTGTGTGGGGGATTAACGGATGCTGTCACCACAGCGCACTCTATTCCTTGCCTGGTTTTTAAATGAGCGCTCCATTTTCTCTAATTCTGCTTCCACTTCACCGATTCGCCGCCTAAAAATAATACTTAGCAGTTAGAATCAAATAAATTCTGAAACACTCTGACCATGTCTGACCTTTAAAGACTTCATCATACAGAAACATTTCATAACATGATGAGTGCAGTGTGAACCTCAGTTTCCTGATTTTTCATTTAATGCCTAGAGATTATGAGTTGACAACTTGTCAATTTCCTTAACTGTCCTTGAATTACATTCTCAAAATAATCTGGCTAAGGTTGCCTTCCCCATAAAGGTTTTTCCCTCAGGGGCTGGGGATTTAGCTCAGAGGCATAAGCACCTGCCTTGCAAGCAGGCGGTCCTAAGTTTGATCCCCGGTACTGATAAAAAAAAAAAAAAAGTTTTCCCCTCAAATTATAGCCACAAGAAATGACTCAAAATGCTGCCCCCGGTCTGTCGGAGCACTGAGACTCTGGTGGGTGTAGACGTGTGACAGAAGCAGGCCGATTTCCTAAAGATGGGCACAGGACACATCTGCAAAGGAGCTTCGCTGTTAACAAGCTTCAGTCTGTTAATGTAGAACCCCTCCCCGTGTGAGTTAAATACATTCCATTCTTGGGCTTCTCATGTGCTTCTGTGCCCATCTCTTCTATGTAACAAAGCAACTCAGCCCAGTTCCTCTGTCTCGGACGCCACACTCACTTGTAGATTTTCACCTCCTCTGTGGCCGGCACCACCTTCTCATCCACAGCCATCAGCGCCTGCTCTCACTGCTGCTGTGCACATTCCGCCTGACTCAATATCCTAGGAGAAAGGCAGCTGCCAGGGCTGAACTCGGCCCACAGGCCACTTCCCCACCCAGCAGCAGGCACAGGGTTTCAGGAGGGCAGTCAAGCTCCAGGCTCTGGGCCATTTGCTTGTGTTCTTATATTCTCTCACCTCTCCTTGTAATTGTCTAATCGGCAAACAGAACAAGCTAAGAGCACAGCATGCGCCAGGCTCTAGCTGCCTGTGTGGGAGATGAGTGTACCCCAAGGGAAGCCAGGATTGTCCAGCAGAGCTGCTGGGAAAGCAATAGGCGGAGTCCACCTCCCCCCCCTTCCCCCATGCTGTCAGGGAAGAGCTGTTCCTCTAGACCTAGGCCATGATAAGCACACAAGATAGGCCGAATGGGTGGATGGGAGTCTGTGGCCTCAGCCAGAAAGCGAAATGTGGGCCCCAGAGGCCAGTGCTGCCCTCCTTCAACCCACACATTGAGGACAATGCCAAAGATGCTGAACTGAGTCCTCGACAAATCCCTAGGCTTTAAGAAACAAGCAGTGGAGCTGAGGCTACAGAGGCAGGGACACTGGGCCCAACTGCTAGCTGGATGATGGTGACGGCGGACAGGCAGGAACAGCCTCAGGTCGCCATCACAGGAAACCAGCAGCACCCTGGGCCCCAAGTTTCCTCTATGATCACTGCACATCGAAGCTGCTAGGCAATCAGAAGTGACAGGAATGGCCAGCATGAGACACTGGGCAAAATCTCTGGGACTCACTTCTGCAGCTCCAGCTCCTTCTGATGGGACAGCTCCTTCAGGACCTCCACCTTCTGCTGGAGCATGCTAAACTCCTCCTCCAGCCGGGCCTTGTCTGCCTGCAGCTTGCCGCAGTCCTCACCTAGCTTCACGATCTGGTCTGGGAGGTGAGACACGTCACCAAGGGCACCGCCAAAGACACAGAACCAGGCTCCCAGCATCCCTGTCTCATTCATGCCGGCACTCAGCCTGACCACCATGCGGTCAGGGACCTACCTTCCAGATCACATTTGGCAGACAGGGAGGCTCTCAGCTTCAACTGCAGGAGTTGGAGATCTTTCTGAAATACGGATATTGTGGGATGTGTCTGAAAATTGTGAGGGAGAGGCACAGGCTTGAAAGTAAGGCTCAGTCAGGACTCAAGGGCCCCGGGGGGGGGGGGGGGCTCTGTGAAGGGACTCACCCGGGAGACATCCATCAGCTGGTGCATGTGAGCCTTCTTATTTTCCCCACCTACAAAGAGAACAAGTGTGGCTGTGTCTTCCTGTGCCGTTTCTAACACTGTTGTCTTGACTTCCACAAAACTAAACTAATGCTCATGAAACACTGTAAAGAAAAACAATTCACCAACAGAACTGACACACTGACTTTCATGACAACTGCACCCTTAGATTTTGTGAGCTCCTGCCAAGACAGCATGCCACATGGTCTAGGGGGAGCTGGCCGGCGTGGGTCCAGACTCGCACTCTGAGCACCCTCTGCAGCTGGGGCAGCACCCTGACCACTTTCCTCATCTCAGACCCTGCTGCTCTCCAGCCTCTGCCCTCACAGCCTGGGCTGTGGCTCCCCATCCCCACACTCTAGGTGACCCTGGTCAAGTGCCTGAGAACCACAGAACAGCAGAGGCCGTGAGTACGGAACCGTGTGTCATCTCCAGAAAGCTGAGTGAGTTTCTTCTCTGGCACAGAGGCCGACACAAAGGCAAAGGCTCCAGCGTACATATCCAGTTCTCAAGGGGTGGAAAAGCAGCTTTCCCCGCTTGCCTGCTGCTACTACACCCCAGTGACCCAGACATAAGTACGAATTATTCAGATGTTGGGAGCCATTGAAGCTGGAAACCGACCACACCTGCAGGGCCAGGGCATGGCTGGCCCAAGAACAAAGAGTCCCTGGGGTTGCCATGTGAAGAAGCTGCCTCAGCCCAGAGATCACCAAGCCCCAAGACAATCTCAACAGTGGGCTGCTAGGACAACAGGGTGTCACATGACATTAAGTTGGATCACTTCAAATGAATGTCATTTGCTACGAGAAGAAGAAACTTTAGGCTACAGATCTACACTGCTGTCTCTCGAGCTCCTGTGCCGATAAACCTATAGGGGCCGAGGTGTCCCTAGCACAAACACACTGTCCTCTCTCCACACCTGTGTGGTCCAGCCACGCTCTGTCTGCTCCAAGTAAGCAGTCACCCCTGCCCCCACATCTCCTAGCTCAGCCGGTACCATCACCCTCCCCACTATACCATGGTTAGTAGCAACAGTAAAATGTGGAGCAGTTAGTGAGTCAAATCAGACACCAAAGTCACTGTCGCTCCTAGCCTGCCTAAAAGTCCTCCCAAACACCAACAGGAAGAGATTTACCTTGGTATATTCTCTCTTTTACCTAGAAGAAAAAGAGAGAAATTTGATGTCAAACATTTGATTAAAAGGAATGCATAGTTCCTAACACAAGTCAGGATCATAACCAAGTGAAAATTTAGTAACTTTAGTTCAGAATAAACCCATACAATTAAAAATGTATTATAAATAGCCTCTGATACAGAGGAAGAGTAAGGAGCGTGTCTTACTTCACAGCTACACACAGGCTTGTGTGCCAGGACCAAGTGAACACCAGGCTTCTGAGATGAGCATTTGGCTTCAACAGTGAAATGCTTGTTTTTACAATACACACATTATTGATTTACTTACTCAAAATTACTTGACAATCCCAAAAGCAAGCATGCAGTCTAGAAATGGGTGACCATATGGAAGACTGGCGAGCGAGATTACCAGCATAACCTTTGCACTAAGATACGCCTCTCTCACCCACTGGAAGATATCTCAGAAACCCTATTTCAAGTGATATTTTGACTCAATTAAGAAATAATCTAATACACCTCATCATCTGATTTCCACAGACCACAAAAACAGTAATAAATCTAAGCAGAAGGGAAGACACCAGAAGAACACAGAGAAATGACAGCTAACGGCTTCCAGGAAGAGCACAGACCCAGTTCTTCCTCCCGGTGCCTTCTGGGGTCATCCATCCTAAACTGTAACTAATTAAATACCACAGCAGCGATCACTGCACTTCTCTGTAACACAGACTCTGTCTTCTCCTTCCGAGTGCTATAAACAGTATAGGACAGCAGAGCGCAGTGGCCAGCTGAGGGGCGTGGTGGTGGGGGACTGTCCTCTCCAGGATCAGGAGTGTCCCCTCAGAGCCATGTGACCTCAGGGAGTGGGAGGAAGTGAACCCAGGGGCAGGGTGTGAAGCTGCAGGGCTGAGCCTGAGAGCCCTGCTGGGTAGCAGCTGCAGGGGAACCAAAGGAGAGGAGCAGGGGAAACAGCACCTTTTCACCCCCAAACACTCTGCTTACCCTTCCAGGCGCGCTTTCATCCAAGAAGCTGTTCAGTGAGATTCCAGAAGTCCTCATAGGAATCTTTCATAGGGTGCTGTTTTGGGGTTGTTTTTGGTGGTACTTGGGACAGGGCCTTCACAATGAACTACATTCTCAGCCTTCCAATTTTTCTTGAGACAGGCTCTTGGTAAGTGACCAAGTTGCCCAGGCTGGGCTCAAACTTGCACTTCTCCTGTCTCAGCCTCCCTCTCCTCCAGGGCTGCAGGAATACACACACCACTCTGCCTGATCTTGCCTGGACGTTTCTACCATCTTACTGTATTTCTTGCCCTGTATGTTTCTACAGCACAGTTCATCAGTACCTCACGGTCTGTTTCCCCTTTTCCCACTTCACATTAAATCGTGAACACCTTCTTTGCCCCCTGCCTTTGAAATACATACAGAAGCCTAATATTCTTTTCTGTGGATATAAATAAGATGAAACATGATATTCCCTAATATAGATCATTTAGGTTTCACCAAGTTATTACTCTATTAAATATTACATCTAATACCTTTGTATAAAATCTTAACATGTAATTTATTTCTTTAAGATCACTTACTGATGTTGTTATACCATATAAAAGCAATTTATATTTCTTATCCTGTTTTGTATCCCATTTTAAAGGCTTATGATATATAGAATTATTAAACTGCTTTTCAGGATGGCTGTCCGAGTCACCAACTCTACTAACAAGTGAATATGGTTAGCTTGCTCTTAAGTCTTTGCCAGTACCAAGATTAAATTATTTCAGAAAATTAACTTGAATTATAACCACTGATTTATGTTAATAACTGAAAGGGCCAATGATAATAGAGTCCTCAATATATTCAGAAGTCAAAGAACAAGTTAATTCACTCACTGGAAAAACATTCCTCCACAAGAAAATCGCAAGCATAAGGATTCCAACACAGGTAGTGAGCAATACAGGCTCCCAGGGGAGCCCATAAAAGTCTCCAGGCCCGGGCTGGAGATTCTCAGGTAACACTGCAACCAGCTGAAAAGGAAGGGCACAAATAACGGAAACGTTAACAGAACTGGCGGAGCAATCACAAAGGATCATCACAGACACTCTCGATCTACTCTCCATAGTCTAAATCAACTTCCAGGTGCCCTGTAGAAACTTCCGGAAAGGGGATACAATCAGGCTCACGTTCTTGTCCCATATGTGGAGTCTCTAAACTTAGGGAGTGAGTTGAGCCTATTTCCCAGTTGGCCAACAGCCCTTCTTCATCGCGGTGTCTCACGCATGGCCCAGATCACGCTTAGGTGAGCTGTTTTCTATTACTGCACATGCGTGCACACACACACACTCACACACACACACCCCCACATTGTAAATACATGATTGAAGCCATCGGTTTTTGCGTCTGCAAACAAAAGCACTATGACAATGATCGCCACAAATCAGGCATCACTCCTCCAGGAGGCTGCGTCTCAATTCGCTGCACCCTCAGGAAACAATCCTTGCAAGGAAACAGGTGGGGCATGAACGTGGCTCCCAAGGCGATGGCTGGCTTCAGACCATGCCGCTCCCTCAGGACAGCCCGCCCCTCTGCAGTCCACACCACGCTCCTGCCTGTCGGGTACCTTCCGAAGGGACCGTCCCACCGGCGGGCGACCAGCGCCCTTGCCCAACCCTGGTTCCCCCGCCTCACCTTCAGTAGCAGGTCTACAAAGGCCGAGTACAGCTTCGACAGGGGCTTCAGCAGCTCGGGGGTGCCCGGGGACACGAAGACCCCGGCTACAGTGGCTGATACCGTGTCCATAGCGAAGGACCGCTCGCTGCGGACCCGGCCGGACCAGGCAGGACCAGGCAGGACCTGGCCCGACCGGGCCGGACCCGGCAGTGGCAAAGAAGTCTTTCCCAGTGGCAGTGGCAGCAGAGGGCGGAACTGCACAGCTACACCTTCGGCTTCGCGCTGCTCTATGAACCATAAACATAGGTAACAGAGGGTCTCCAGGACGACCACAAAGGGGCAGGGCTTCACAGAGGGGGCGGGGCGAAAGCTGGACACCACGCGGGGGCGGGGCGGGAGCGTCCAATGAAGGAGGCCGGCGGGCAGAGCGCCCAATGAGGGCGGCCGGGGGCGGGGTCCCGTGGCAGCAGAGCAAGGCTGGCCAGTAGCCGCGCTAGGGCACCAAGCTCAGGCGCCTTCACCGCTGGAGCTGGGCACCAGGCCTTGCAAGTGCCGCTACATGGCTGCTGGCCTGGCTGGCACCTTCACCCGGGTGGGGCGGGGCCACGCGTCAAAGTTCAGGGATACTTAGTAGTGTACTCTCTAATGCATTTGAGAGAAGACACTTACTAGGAGAGCTTGCTAAGGCTATCACTTAAGGTGATGACTGGATATTTCTACAATAATTTTTAAAATGAATGTTTTAGGAACTTTTAAATCAATATTTAGGAGATGACTGCAAAGACAAATTATAAAACTGCATATCAAGTTGATAATGTCAACTGTATAGAGAAAAAGCATCATGTCAAGTTCCCAGTATGCTAAGAGATTTCTGGAATGATAAGACCAACTCCACCTGGGCCATGGCTAAGTTTCTCTGAAGAGGAGTGAAACCTCTACCCTTTCTAGTTACATCTGCTTGCCTGAGTGCCAAAACAGCACTGCCTTATAATGACGGTAGTGTCAATGTCACCACCCAAATGCTGTGATGGTTAACTGTACTAAGCAGAGTGCTAAACCCATCAGATAAGCACAATAGACCAAATACCTGATCTGTATCCTTCAAAAATGCACATGTTGAAATCCTAACTCCCCAGATGATGGTATTAGGAGGTGGGCCTTTGGGGTTGGGTGGGTAACTAGGTCACAAGAATGGGGCCTTCATGAATGGAACTAGTGCCATTATTTATAACCCCAGAGAGCTCGCTTGCCCTCTTTCTGCCACTTGAGGCCACAAAGAGAAATAAGTAATCTGCAGCTCAGAAGAGTCCACTCCCCAGAACCTGAGCCTGCCACATGCTAATCTCAGATTTCTAACCTCCATAACTGTGAGCAGTATATCTCTGTTATTTATGAGCCTTTCAGGATATGTACTTTGTTATACCAGCCAGAGTGGACTAAGGTCAGTAAGTATGATTAGCCCATGTTACGCTTTAGGAAAAAGCCTAGTTCAAGAATAAGATCAAGGTCACCACTGAAATAAGAAATCCTGCCTTTAGAGGTCTGACAGAACAAGAAGCTCAAACTAGGCGTGTGATCTAAAGCCCAGTGCCACCTATGTCATGTGGATGTAACAGGTGAAGGTAATAAAGGCCAAGCAATTATTATCAACCTTACATTAAGAATGGTCAGTCATGGAATTCAAACACTACAACAATGCCATGCTCTAGGCCACGTGTATCTTCACTAGAAAAACGCAGAAAACGAGAGTTGGAGAGTTTAAATTTTCCAAGGGTGCCCAGGAGAGAAACTTGAATCCATCTCTGTCTGCTGTGCTGCCTCCATTCAGAATCATTATGAGTTCCATCACCAAGGGAAGGCTAGCCATCACGCTTTTTAAATCTGTGCCCCTGTGCTTTTGTTCAGCATCTGGAAAAAGCAGGGCCAAATTCTGTATGCAGTGATCTAAAGGTGGCCAGACCTTTAGAGGAGGTGTATTTTGAAGATCCTCAACTCACACAGCTGCTTTGACTTTCTCCTCTAGTGACTCTGCACTTGCTAAGGCAGCTGGGAGCCAGGTTATCTTTCTAGCCCATGCATAGTTTCCCTGTTGAGGCTGGGAGGACTTTGCAAAGGGAGCAAGATTCTGTTGCACTTCAGCTCTCCTTAATAGAGAAGACTAACATATTACCAAAGAACTTCTTGGGCTTAAACAGTTTTTAGACACAAGAAATAGAAAAAATATGGAAATCCATTTTACTTTCCTTATGTGATAATGCTAAAGTACGTTTATTATTTTGATATTTGGAACTTAGAGTGGTATCTTTTACATAAAACAATATCATATTGACTAGTTCAATTCCCATTCTATTCCACATAAGCTACTAAACCTACAGTATAGTTAAAACAATGTCATTTCGATAAAGTACACAGGACAAATACTTACCATAATACTTACATTTGTTTTTCTTTTTAAAATAGAAGTAAAATGTAAGAAAGCCTATATTTATTAAAGTGTGTATGGTATAAACACTCCTGCCATTGGAAAATTCAAGCTGAATGGTTTAATAACTGGCCACTTCTAGATATTTAATGCTCAGCATTGATGACATGGTACAAGCCAGCTCTAACTCACCACTGAACAGTGCAACTTACTGTGTATCTGCTCAGATAATTGCCAACCAAACTCACATCACACAGCTTACCCTGGCCTGTTCTATGAGTGGGACATTTTGCTATTTCAGTGGTTATTTATTGGAGCCTGGATGCATATCCATCAAATTCAGTAAAAGAGTTGATGTATCTCAAGCTTCCAGAAATTGGAAATCAGAGAACCTTTCCATGAGTTTAAATTTAAGTTCAATAATTGTCACAAAGCTATTTTCTTGGAACTCTATTACATTTTCTTATGACTTGAATAAATTTTTGAAAAGTAAAATAAAAAAGTCACCAGCAATTTCTGGAATAGTTTAAAACCTTAAGACTGGGTATATTCTTAGTACATCATGAATGCATCGTCAAAGGGGATAAGCGACTGAAATGTGAAGATGGAGAGAAACAGCTTCTCTGAGATTTGGTGCCCAGACACTGGAATATGGCAATGTGAGGAAGAGGAGGAGCGAAGTGGATTCCCAAGCCCAAGCAAGGATCTAAAGTGAGAACCGAGATCCACAGGAAGAGGGAGGAGGAGGAGGAGGAGGGGAAGGGGGAGGGGGAGGAGGAGGAGGAGGAGGAGGAGGAGGAGGAGGAGGAGGAAAAAGAAGAAGAAGAAGAAGAAGAAGAAGAAGAAGAAGAAGAAGAAGAAGAAGAAGAAGAGAAGGGCGGGAGAGAGAGACAGAGAGGGAGACACAGAGAGAGAGAGAGAGAGAGAGAGAGAGAGAGAGAGAGAGAGAATCTCAAAGTAGAAGAAGGAAGTGGCAAGCAGCGTCTTCTCTTCTCCCTGAGCCCTGACTGGCAGCATGGGAGGGGTGCTCAAACCTGCAGATGCACTGTGACTACTGTGACCCCAGAGACCTCCGCAGAGAAATGCACCAGTGGAACTGATTGTAGATGCAGTGGGCAGCAGTGACTGATGAGTGACTTGGGTTCAGACATCCTGTGGAAGAGGCTGATTGACCTGTTGCCATCTTAGGGAGGGGTCAACTAAGCTCAGAACTCAGACCAACTGCTAGCTGGCTCCATCTCAGGGCTCCTATGTCAGGAGCCAACTGAGTCCAAGTCAGCAGGAGGCAGAGTGCTGCAGGCTGAACAGATTGGGTTCCAGCCTCACAGCCAGAAGCCAGCCTGAATTTAAGTGAAACTAAGGCACAGGCTTGCTGGAATTACCCATTACCCTGCCATGTATCTATGACTGGCTTGCTGAAATTAAGCAACACAGTTCCGGGCTCTGTTTGCCCACTTTGTCTACCAATGACAGCTGAAACATGCCCTGAAGTGGACATTTTAAAAATTATTATCCTTTAAATTTTTTGTATTTTTATTGTTCTTTTTATATGGTGTGAACATTCTGTCATATTCTTGTTTTCTTTCTTCATTCTCTCTTTCCCCCCTGTCTTTTTCACCAGTTTCTCAAAGTTCATGTAATCTTCCTTTGTTCTCCAGGCTTGCTTTTAAACTCGTCCTTTTCTTCTATTTCTTTTTCTCTCTCTCTTTTAAATTTTCTCCCCTAAGGGTAAAACTGTCACTTTGAAGATATATTCACTGTATACAATTTTCTGCTTTGTTTTAGATTTTGTTGTATAACCACAAATCTAGTTTATATGCTTAAAGGTGGCAAATTAATAGCAACCACAGTTTGTCATTTTCTAATCTGGTTTGACACTATAGTTATTAGTGATAGTACTATTTTAGCCAAGGTGACATAATTTTTCTAATCAGTTGTTCTTCCTGATATTCCAAAACTGAGATTGCTTGAGGCTTATTAACAATGGTATAGGCCAATGCCAAAGAACCAGGAGCAAGGCCACATAGGTAGCAACTTCCCATCCCCAATAAATTGAAGAGGCAATATCTTGCGACAGACTCAAAACTCAAAAGTCAGCTACAACTAGAAGATATCTCTGAGAAACTGTCATTTCTTAAGGGTTCTCAATAATAGCAATAAAGCTACCTGCCATAAGCAATTTATAAGAATCAACCCTGGAATTTTAAAAAATGGAAAATGAAAAGACATGGAAGCAAGATGCGACTCTAGACTTCTAGCTCACCCAAGGCAAACCTGTGGACAGTGAGGTAGAACAATTCAAAACCACCCACTGGACTCGGTGAAGTAGTAACAGCAGAAGTAGCAAAGGCAATAAGTGAGGCTGTAGAAAACTGTGAAGATTCCAGGAAGAGAAAAATAAATAGCATCTTCCCTGATCCTGCCTGTATATGGGCTGAGAATCAACACCCCCACCCCTCCACCACACACATACCTTGCCCATAAGCAACAGGCTGGTTCAGAGGACAGGCTGAGTTGATAGCAACTAAAGTACAAAAGCAGCTAAATGCTTATATTGTTTGGTTGATTTTGCAGGCCTGGGGCCAGCAGTCTGAATATCTATTGGAAGGATGACAGTATGCAATATAGCAAATATGGGGCATTTCCTTCTGTCTTGCCTTTCAAAACCAGTATTGTTTTGTTCTGATTAATTGTTTTGCTTTATTCAACATTCTGTTTTGATTGGTTTTATTCTGTTTTGTTTTGGTTTGATGTTACTATACCTGATGGAATGGACAACTATTGTGAAGATAACAAGTTATGCTACTGTTGTTTTCCTAGTATCCTGCTTTGAAGTTTTGTTCCAGTTTACTGCTTTGTTTTGGTTGGTCTTGTTGGCCTTGTTCTGTTTTGTGTTATTGAATTTTATTATCTTTAAAATAATGATGGAAATCATAAATACCCAACATAGGAAAGAAATAGATTACATGAAATAGATTCAAGCAGCTATCCAGGAGATTAAAAATTCTCTTGAAAGTATATGCAGCATGAGCCAATGTTAGGACAGAATAGCATATATAGAATATAGT